TATCAGGGTCCATTATCAGGGTCCATTATCAGGGTCCATTATCAGGGTCCATTATCAGGGTCCATTATCAGGGTCCATTATCAGGGTCAATTAACCTCATTGTTTATAACTATACATTTTACTCACTATCTTACTTCTGATTGGCTGAGAGCTTTTAGCTCTGCTCATTGGTTCCGAAAGCATTCCATTGTTCCATTAATTACATTCCAAAACCTACACAAAACCAATAGTGGCTTCTGCGCAAGCGCAATAGCCACAAAAATGAGATTAAGAAGTGGAGCGTGCATGAGAGACAACCCAAAAGTGTTACTAAGTTACTCTTGCACCCAGAAGGATTATAAATTGAATAATGCAATATGAAGCTGGTTTAGACCATTCAAACTCTAGATGAGATTAGTAATTTAAGTTACAGTTGATTTGGAGTTATACATATATACTTTCTAACAAATAGTTGGATAATTATAACTGATGGATTTCTCATTTTACAGGGGAAATTGCTTCATCTCTTAGGCAGAACACCAACATCACGGTTGGTTTGTACTATTCCCTGTATGAATGGTTTAACCCTCTCTATTTACAAGACAAGAAAAATGGATTCAACTCAACTTTTTTCATCAAGGTATGTTATGAATCAACATAAATATCCTAAATTCTAATATGAATGCAGTGTTATGTTTAAGTATTATGGTCACCTACTGCATGCTCCGCTCCTTTGTACATAGGAGAAAAATGAATTAAAACACCTTGATTATTCATGTCCACAGTTCCTTTCAGTCACACGAACGGTAACCAGTCATTTCGCCCACGGACCATTTCGCCCACGCCAATTCGCCCACGTGTAGAATCATTTTAAGAAATATGTTACCATGACTAAAAAAAAGTAGTTCGTGATTTACCAACCGGTACCTACCAACCCTACTTGACGCTTAAGCTCAAGACTTCAAAACCCGAACTTTTTATACGAATACCGGTCGTTTCGCTACCACGCACTTTCACTACCGCCGGTTCGCTACCACCCGGAGTCCTTTCGCTACCATCATGAAGTCCTTTCGCTACCATAGGAAATTACCAAAACAAAACTTCGATGAGACTTGTTAAAAAGAAACATAGCCTCTTGAAAAACATTTGTAAATGATTTTGAAGCATATTTGGAGCGATCATTTCACGATACGATCAGTGAAAGTAGAGATCTAAACGCGACCAAGGACAGCGTTCACTTAGCTGCCATATCGAGTCCGTTTCTACCAACTTATGAGTCGGATGACTTTATTTCCCTATTTTCCTATACTCTAATCTATGAAATGTGTGTTTTGGTAGCTTTATCATTCTTTATTATTTTTTACTTGCCAAAGTTCGAGAAAAATACAAAATACCTTATGCGCGAAACATCGATCGACAAGCGACGCCATATTGTTTTCGTGTAATCAACAAGCTTTTCCTAGTCGTTTACTGACACTTTCTTTTCTTGAAATCCATTAGACTTTATTATTTGCACTAAAAAACTAAGACGAAATGATCTAGTGACTTTATCTGCAATAAATTTGAGGCCATTTAATATCTGATGTGAACGCCAAAAACTTAACGATTGAGTGGAACGATCGAGCTCAGTTTACGGTGTTTCATAGGCCGGAGTCTTTTCGCTACCAATAGGTTTTTAGTCTCCGTAGAGTAGTTTGTTGAAAACATTACAATATCCTTCTTCTTCATCGAAAAATCGAATGTTTAGGACATATTTAATATTATTGCTTCTGACTTGCCAAGGTTAGAGTGAGAAAAACCAAAATACCTTCCGCGAAACATCGATCGACAAACGACGCCATATTGTTTTCGTGAGCTTGTCTAAAAGCTTGTCTAATATTTTTTGTAGATGTCAGATTCAGCAACACACGACATCTCCCATCTCAAAGCACCATATCTTTTCCTTTAACTTTATTAGTGAAAAGAATAAAGTCTAATGGATTCTAGGTAAAGAAAGCGTCAGTAAACGACTAGGAAGCTTGTTGATTACACGAAAACAATATGGCGTCGCTTGTCGATCGATGTTTCGCGCATAAGGTATTTTGTATTTTTCTCGAACTTTGGCAAGTTAAAAAATGATAAAGAATGATAAAGCTACCCAAAGCACACAGTTCATAGATTAGAGTATGGGGAAATAAAGTCATCCGAGTCATAAGTTGGTAGAAACGGACTCAATATGGTAGCTATTAAGTGAACGCTGTCCTTGGTCGCGTTCAGATCTCCACTTTCACTGATCGTATCATGAAATGATCGCTCCAAATATGCTTCAAAATCATATACAAATGTCTTTCAAGAGACTATGCTTCTTTTTAACAAGTCTCATCGAAGTTCTGTTTTGGTAATTTCCAAGTGGTAGCGATGATTTTATGCGTGGGCGAAATGGTCCGTGGGCGAAATGACTGTAAACCACACGAACACCGTGACATGCTGCACCCCTTCCACTTTTTTTGTAAAAGTACAATATACAGAATACAAGGATACACATAAAAATATCATTGAATGATAATGAAATTTTTTGGGGGCGGTTAATTTTGTTTTTTAAGAAGAATCTAGAGTTTATCTGCCTGCATGTTTTCTAGCGTATTACATGTATATACTGTGCTGACATTACTTTCATGTGAATATAATACATTTCAAGTTAGCCGTTTACTATCATTATTGTGTTTGTGCTATATTCTATTATGTTTTGGTTGACTGTATAACACTGTTCTTTTATTTTTGTTTGTTCAAAAGTACATTATTTTCTTTGCACATACAGGATAAAATACTCCCAGAATTACATGAGATTGTGAACAAGTATAAGCCAGAATATATCTGGTCTGATGGTGATTGGGAAGCTTCAGATGCTTATTGGGAAAGTAAAGCTTTTTTAGCATGGCTATTCAATGAAAGGTAAATACTTATAATATTATTATTATATTACACTAATTTTAATATAAATAAAATGTTGATGAAAATGAATCCAATTAAACCTCAGGAGGTATTTACAAGACATAATGAACACTTTTTCAACATACTTATATACTTTAGTTAAAGAAAGGTTTGATAAGATTTCAGCCCTTAAAATTGGCACAGTTTGTTGCTTTTTTCCCCCAAGGTTTTTGGTTATGAATTATGGATATTCTCATATTTAATTAATTATTTCTCTTCTTGTTTCAGTCCTGTTAAGGATAGTGTGGTGGTAAATGACCGTTGGGGTGCAGGCTGTATGTGTCACCATGGCTCAGTTTTTACATGTTCTGACAACTACAATCCAGGTATTGTACTTTTTCAAGTCAAATTAAACAAACACGGAATGAACATGGTTTAGGTGGTATATCAAATAAGTTATTTTAACTCATTTATTAACACACCCCTAACTCAGCTGAACTTGCACATAAAATGCCCCATCTTAAAAACGTTAACGAGTGTTTGACTTCTAGCTAATGGTTTGTCAATCTCAACTATTTGCTTGTATGTTTGAAGGTTTAGTTGAACGTAGGCTTTATCTTTATAGTATATTCTTTTTAGTTTCGTTCCACGTTGACTGGTTTAAAAGTAACCCATTTCTTTAGTAATATTTTATTCTATCTTGTTGTTTTGTCAATCACTTTTCAAGTGAAGAGTTCATGACCCAAAAACTTGGGTAACAATTGTTGTTTAAAATTGTTATGATCCTTTCTTTGAAAGAAACAAAATATTATTTATCAGTAATCATTGGCAACTTAAGAGTGTTGTAGCGGTAGTACACACGCCTCTCACCTCTTACTTAGTTCTTAGATTTCTTAGCTCTCTCCCTTGATTTAAGGGTTTTTCTTCAGGTTCGCCTAACAACACCAATAAAATAACGTGGTCAGTGAATGATGAGGGATGTCCAGGGCTAGCCTCTGCTCCCCAGGGTTTGGGAGAGACACATAGATAGTAGAGAGGCCTGTATGATAGTGTGGACAAGGGAATAGACAGGGGATGTCTAGGGGATCCCCAGGGGACAAGGAGATGGGAGAGACACATAGATAGTAGAAAGGGCTGTATGATTAGTGGGGACAAGGGGATAGACATGAGATGTCTAGAGGATCCCCAGGGGACAAGGGGATGGGAGAGACACATAGATAGTAGAGAGGGCTGTATGATAGTGGGGACAAGGGGATAGACAGAGGATATCTAGGGGATCCCAGGGGACAAGGGGATGGGAGAGACACATAGATAGTAGAAGGCTGTATGATAGTGGGGACAAGGGGATAGACAGGGGATCGGATGTCAAGCGACACCAATCTAATCCATCGCAAATTTGTTAATTTTGTTTACAACTTGAATATTTTTTCGAGTTTTTCACTTGGCAACTGACGTTCCATGTTTGTTGGACTTGTTCTAATCCTTCAGCACCGTCACTCGCAAACAAAAACTAAATCATAAATTCAATCATTTTGCCCTTAAAATATGTACTTGGTGTATTTGTTGCAGGAGTGCTCGTTAAACATAAATGGGAGAATGCAATGTCAATGGATAAAATGTCATGGGGATACAGACGTAATGCGACACAGCTTGCTGAATATAACACTATACAGGAGCTGATTGGCCAGCTGGTTACAACTGTAAGGTACTTATCTAACTATTCTTGTAATCATATTTAACTCGTGGGTAGGTGAAGCGTCTTACGTCATCTGCTTACGAACGTTACGCCAAACTTACTATCGGACTTCGTACAATCACGAATAAAAGCTTGAATAGCTTTTTATATCGGGAGCTGGAATTTCACTTTTCGATAAGGGATGATGTCTAGCACTGAGCATGCTCATACTTGTACATAGCTTTACTTTCGATTATTTATATGAAAAAAATTATCTCCTAAACTAGATTTTCAAATGGTCAAATCTCTATTCCAAGTCAGTAAACAGATATCGCTTACATACAATCGTATCGTCGACATATTATATATTCAGGTTTATACAACGAGAAAAGTTCCTGTCAAAATTAAGCGCCAATCGCATTTCATAATCTCGTAATTGCAAAGCATATTATGTATATATTATATTTTAAATCCCCTGAAGAGTGAAGCGATTCACGAAACAGGCTTGTTAAATGTAGTCTTGACTTTTTCTCTCTCTCTCTCTCTCTCTCTC